AGTACCGCTACTGGTTTCATTTCTCTCCCTCAAACATTGAAATGGACATAGAAACTTTTTTCAACACATCAGTGAGCGCTATCCAATCGATTAGGGTCCATATTTATACTTTTGATATATTTCTTTACTCCAATACATTTTTTATAATCAATTTCCCGCATTCTCTTATAAAATTGGTATGTCAGCTCGATCATGTTACTTATGAGTAGTCATTATATTATTACGATTTTTCCCTGGGGGGTGACTGTCGTTCAGTTCTACCAGGGCCGCTTTGGCTTGTGTAACCGTTTTGCAAAGAAGAAATGAATATTCTTATTGTAATAAGAACTGTTTTTTTATTTGTGGCTTTGCGGGTATATCTCTCTTATCTCATTGGTACAAAGAATTGAGCCAGATTGAAGTTTCTGCATGCACCGAGTAGATACAGGATGCTGTAAATACAAGTATCACGTACATCAGTTTGAGCACTTATCGATGGAGGCAAGCTGAGTTTATAATTTCCTTTTTATCACCAGATATTTTTGCGGAAAAACGCTTTTATCTATTTTGAAGCTTATAATATCGGAATGTTCGTGTGAAAAATGTTACCTTAGCTTTTGTGATAGATGCCGATATTATATTGTCACTTTATCATGGTTTCTACGTACCACTCATCAGTAGACTGCTTTCAATTGCACAATTTTTCAACGGTGGGTGGGATATTCTTGTCTGTCTATCCATATGGTTCTGTGTTATCTGGGTGTCTACCAAACGCACGCAAGCTGTGGTTTGTGTAAGCTCGTGCTTCTCTTGTCGCATAGGATTTTTACACCGACGAATCGTTACACATCGAAAAAGGAGTGACATAGAGTTCCAAGTGGGAGATAATAGATAATGTAGGCTTCAATGAATTTGCGTTGGCTTTTAGTGGTTTACGAATGTGAGGTGTTCCAAGGTTTCGTCGAGTCTCTGCTTGAAAGATTCAATAGTGGGTGCACAAACGACATGAGATGGAAGGGCGTTCCAAGATCTGCATACTCTGACTGCAAAAGACTGGCGCCGGAAATCCAGTGGACACTTGGGAATCAGTAGTTTGAAACGGTGTCCCCTTAGGTTTACATCTTTCCATAACGTGAGCAGCTATTGACACGAATGGTCTGGGTTCTGTAGTATTTGATTCGTCAAAATCAAGTCTCCTCGAGTTCGGCGGTACTGAGAAGAATATAGTCCCAATGATCGCAATTTCTCCTCATATGCCAGGTAATACAATCCCTTGACCATCTTGGTGGCCATCCTTTGTGGACGCTCACGCATCTTGCGATCACGTTGAAGCCATGGGCTCCAAGCTTGGATGTTGTACTCCGTGTAGGGTTGAATGTACGCCGATATGAAACGTGGGGATAGTGATGATTCAAACCGGCCAAAGACTCGCCGAAGTAAGCCGACATTCTTCATGGCAGCAGACGAAGCTTTAGCACAGTTGTTGGAGCAGCTTAAATCCTCTTGAACAACGATACCTAAGTCCTTTTCGCTAGAAGTATGTGATAGCTGTTGGTCCCTGAGGAAATACCAGCATTTCCGCTTGTGGTGTAGGGATAAGACCTTTAGAAACATTAAATTCATTGTTCTTCTCCGTAGAGCATTGATAAGCTGCGTTGAGTGATTCTTGAAGTGTTAGAGAGCCCTCTGTTTCTGTTACCGTGTTCCAAATTTTGGCGTCGTCTGCCAACAGTATTGTTTTTGAGCCTAACACTTTGGGTAGATCAGTCATTAAGGCGAGGAACAGCCAGACAGAGTATGGACCCTTGTGGAGCACCGCGAGTGACTTTGATGGATCCGGATATGGAATGAGAAACACGAACTGATCTGGTTCGTTGTTCGAGGATTAGTTTAGTCCATTCATGAGAAATCTCGAACGCCATAATTGTAGAGCTTCTTTAGCAGAATTTTGTGAGTCACTCGATCAAATGCTTTCGCGGTGTCGGGATAAATCACATCCACCTAATCCCCTCGTCAACTGTACTGGTCCGTTCGTCTCGAACACGAAGCACGTTGATGGAGCAGGATCGCTTTTGCATAAACCAGTGTTGAGCTGTCGAGAGGATGTATCTTTCGAGGTGTTCCATCAGAGAATCGGCCACGATTCGTACCCGGACATGATGCTGATGGATGTCAAGGGATACACACCACCGTAACTGGCACATTCGAACTCAGCGAGGTCATGAATGGATTCGGTCCGTGAATTCGAAATACATGGTTGTTGTAAGTTCATTACCCATCGAATTTGTAACTCAGAATGGCACTGTATTCGTTGCATTTCAGTTCAGCGGCATTACGGTGGGTAACTCGGGATATCATTTCCTGGACGTTGTGATAGACCATGGTGAGTAATTATCTAACAGGGACGATGTGAACGATCATCTAACACTTTTGATACCCATACAGTGTGGTCCATTCTGCGATTGTTGCATTTTGCTCTTAAGATAAGAAATATTGTAACTGGTAACTGCTCACGTTGCATATCTCGCCCATTTCTACAGATTCCCTCTGGGGTTATGTGTAT